CGGGAGCGCCAGGCCGCTCCTCGCCGCCCTGCTCCTGGCGGCGGGCTCCTGGCGGCGGGCTCCTGGCGTGGCCTGGGGCTGGTTCCAGCAGCTGTGATGCCCCCTGGGCACTGCAGGAAGACCGCTGGCCAGGCCAGGGCAGGAAGGAGCGTTTCCAGCACGGTGGATGAGCCACCCTGAGCTCAGCCATGCTCGAGGTCCCAGGGCCTTTCACACCAGCACCCACCACAGTCCCTCTCGGGCCTCCGGCTCCATCTCGGGCAGATGCACTGACCCGCACGGAGGTCGCGCAGGACGCGGCTCCTGTCCGGCTGCTGGGCAGGCCGTGGCTCCAGAGCTAGGCTCCCTGGGCAGCGGGCAGCAGGATCCCGTCCTGCCTCCACCCCAGGGGCACAGAAAGCCCCAGAGAGCTGGGCTGGGACCCTGAAGGCGAGCCCAGGGCCGGGAGAGGCGGGCAGCTGGCCGCCACCAGGACGCTGCAGGGCCAGTCTGCAGCAGGAGCGTTGCCTGGCGGGCGGGGCCGCCACGTAGAGGCCTGGCTGGGCCGCGGGCTGAGCACCGGGTGGCCAGGCAGAGGCCCGGCCGGGCTCCGCGGCGGGGGTCGCTGCTCACCTGGCTCGCAGCAGGAGGAAGCCCTCTGGGGCACTCCCGGCCGGTCGCCCGCCTTGCCTGGAGCATCTCGGTGGGCGGCGGGCCCCTGGGCCTGTCGGTGGGCAGGTTTGGGGTCACGGGAGCCGCTGGGCAGAAAGGGGCCAGAGGAGCCTTGGGCCAGGGGGCAAACACTGACATCGCGAGGATCCCAGCAGGGCCCCGGGGGCTGGGACAGTGGGCGCAGAGGCCTGGGGTGTCACTGGGGTGGGGTGCCTGAGGGGCAGCAGCCCCGGGGGCGAGCTGGGCAGGGCAGGCCTGGCCTGACCACTGGGCGGACGGTGCGGCTCGGAGGCGGGGTCGTGCAGAGTCAGGGCCAGGAGCACCCCGGGGTGAGCGGGGGCGACGCTGCCTGGACACCACACCCAGCACGCACACATCCAGCACACACCCCTGCACCCACCACACCCCGAACGTCACACTCCCCCACACCCCCATATGCACCCGACACCCCACCTCCCCACAGCACACACTCCACCCCCCACACACACTCGCGCACCCAGCTCACGGGGCGGAGAGGTGCAGCCTGGCATCCGTACTGGCCGGGAAGGAGGGGGCGGGCGCCCCGTAAAATGGGAGCAGATGCTGTGTGGCCGGAGGGGAGCGGTGTGGCTGCGGGCGGGCGGGCG